TCCTTCGTCCCTTTACAAAAAAAAAGATGAATATAAAATTTTTATAGTCAATGAATATACAATTATTTTTATCGGAAGAAAAGGACACTATTGTAAAATAGACTGTAATAATCAAACAGGAATAAAATGAAAAGTTGATTGTGTCATGGATGGATTGATGTTTTAAAAACAAAATCGTCTTTGATTGATGTAATCATCGAATTAAATATTACTCTCCAAGATTAATACAATCTTTCAAAGACGGTTAACCAATTTTTTAAGTGTAAATCAATAATATTATTCTTTTCGGTAAAAAAATTCAGCATAAATAGTAGATAATGGTCCAACTGACACATTTTCGGTAGTACCATGAAAGAGGACATAAGTGTCTCAATACTAGTGTCCTAGTGCAGGCATGGACATGTTCTTCAATGGGTCCTCACCATAACAATAATTGTTATTGCACCTAAATCTTTACAATTACTGATTATTATGTTGTGAATATCATTCTTGTTTTCTCTTTCAAAAATATCTTTTTCTTCACTAGAGTTCTCCTTCAACCACACTTCACACTAACTAGAGATGTTAATGTTCGGAATAAGTTGGATTAAATTTATATTAAATATTATAATAATTTTAGTTTGGTCAAATTAGATACACAAGTCCTAAATTTTACTTGTAGCTGTTCATAAATCGTAAATAATTGACTCGAGTTTATTTAAGTTTAATTTATTGTTTTAGTTTAAATTTTTCAAAAAGTTTATGTATTATTTTAAAATTAAAAACTTAGTCATCGTATTTAATTTTTACGATATTAAGATGTTATATTCTATTTGAAAATCTTAGTCATCTCACTAATTTGTATGTAATTTTATCATTAATTGCATACTTAGTAGCTAAAGAGGTAAAATAACTTTTTTGATCCTCTGTGTTTATAATATTTTTAATCAATTTGACCCTTTGAAAAACTTTAAACTCAGATGATTGAAAAACTATATTATTCAATTAATGATAATTATCTATTCATTTTCATATATTGAGGATCAAATCAATTTAAAAAAAGTGAACATAGTTCGTTTCGGACTTTCAGAGAGATTACGTTGAATTTAACGACTAGTACAATGCTAAAATTTAAACGTTTAAATGTTTTATTAAAAAAGTCGATACATAAGTTCAATGACTAATTGTATAGTTTACCTTTTTTTTAAATGGTACATCAACTTTTCATTAAAAATAATGAACATATATTATTTTATAATTTCTAATAACTAAGTGATCTAACTAAAAAATATCATATAGTTGAAGAACCATATGAGTTTCATGTTGTTTTGGGCTTCAAACATAGTGCGTTAAATTTGGGCTTTAATCCAACACGGAAAAACTAACCAAAAATCGCTAGAAGGAGGGCTTGAACCTCCGACCTTGTGGTTAACAGCCACACGCTCTAACCAACTGAGCTATTCCAGCTTTGCTTATGGGTTTGGAAAACAATATTTTTCATCATTTATTTTATTTTAATTTTGAGTTGGAAATTTATTTCGTTCTTTGAATAATCTGGATATAAGGTAATATCTACCGACAGCAAGGGCGAAACTAGGAGTTTATTAAGGTGGACGTTATAAATATTTTTTTATTTTTTATAAATATAATTTTTTAATTGAGGGAGATGGATAAATTTTCTTTTATTTATTTTTCATATATATATATATATATAAATATATACTTAAAAAAAATTCGCAAGAACCAAACCAGCATTATAACAATATTTTTAAAAAAACTTTTTAACATTTTTTTATATATTTAATGTAAAAATATTTTTAAACTAATTTATTTATCTTTAAAAAAACATTGACACTATTAAACATAAACTGACACTCATTATTCGTTTTATATAATTTCTAAATTTGGCACCCAAAATAATTCCTCTAAAATTTGTACCTCAAAATTATTTTTCTAGCTTCGCCCTTGGTAGTATTTTTTTTTAGAATTTTTTAATATATTAACAATATATACACATTTTAACATAATTATTTGAATCCATGGGCGGACTTTCGTGGGGTTAAGAAGAGTCTTGCCCCCACCAACTTTTTTTAAATATTAATTAATATTAAAAAAATATATTTAAAAAAATAAATTTATCAAACTCTCTTCAATTAAAAAAATATATTTATAAAAAATATATTAACGTTACTGTAATAAATTTCTCCATCCCTACTTGAATCATAACTTTTTTTAAAAAAAAAAATTGTTCGTTTTGTCAGTGAGACGATGGGTTCAATTTTTAAAAAAATCACTATCTAAAAGAACCCATCTAGAAGTATATGCGAAAACTCTGCGCAGGTCACCCACCACCACGGAAACGTCAAAGCCCACCAAAATGGAAAATTTCAATTAATTCCAAAATTTTGTACCAATGTGAATATCAAGATCAAGTCTCCACGCGTAGGGATGTATATTTATCCGAATTTAATTTGATAAAATTAAACATATATATATATATATATATATATATATTAAAAATCAAATGTTAGATTAAAAATTATAATTGTGGGCACATATGTGTAATGTACAATGTTATCACAAAATATGATACAAAAATTAAATGATTAATTATGTTACATGTTTCATAAGTATTAAAATGTGATGAAATTAAAGTATATATAATACAAGTTGTATTTATAATTTGGTGAGAGACTAAATATTTAATTTATATGAAGATGTAGTAGCTCCTACGAAATATGTTAACTTGTATTACTCTTATTTTATCAAAAAGTTTTTACAGTAAAAGAAAAATTATATTCTTGGAAAATTAAAACCAAAGAAAGATTCAATGATTTCAACTTATAGATTAATTTAGGTATGCTTTGCATCTAATACTTTTTTTTTTAATGATTTGACATGATTAGATCCTAATTAACTTTTATATTTATTGCGGTTTGGTTCTAACACCATATTCAAATTAAATTAGATATTTTTAAAGATAATATCAAGTCGAATTTAAATTTAACGTAAAAATCATCGATCTAATAATATTATAAATACTTCTTATATAGCAATAATTATATATCTCTTTTTATAATTTTTAATTAGATATTTATTTTATATAGTAAAAATAAATATTTTTATATATTTTTATCAGGCTGGGCTCACGTTCTATCTCAAAAATCAAATCAAAATTTTAAATAGAATGAAATTTTTATAAATTTAAATTGAACCGAATAATGTGCGAAAAGATATTATTTTATTGTAATTATAAAAATAATTTTGTCGTAAATGTTATTTTTAATAAAAATAGTTAAATTATTTTTGAAAAGATATTATGTAACTAATATCATATTATATAATAATTTTGTTTATAAAAGTCAATTATTTAGTATAAACACTAACAATAAATTTTATATAAATAGAAATTTTATAATTATTATTACACGTAATGTCTAGAAATAATTAAAGAAAAGCTTGTACCTAATCCTTTTGACATACACGAGTCAATAATCCCAACACAAGGAAAGGTTCCAAAACAGCTAATATTACCTCATTAATTATTCCTATTGTATTTGTCCATTCACAAATTATAAAAAATATTGATCTGAGAAAATTATTTAAGAATTATATATATTTTATAGTAATTATTAAAGTTATTTATGTCATTTTTTAATAATTCTTATCAAAAAAAAAAAAAATTTACTTTTAATGAGTATTAAACTTACGATTTAAGGTGAAAAAAGTGTTAGCCGATAACTTTTAACTATCTGCTTTATAAATTGTTGACTTATATTATTATCTTTTAAATGTAAATGATTTTGATAAAATTATTCTATTCTATTAATAAAATATTTTTTATGGTTAAAATCATTGATAGTTTTTAGGTTAATGTACACAAATAGTTTCTCGACTATAGGATGATGCTTTATTGAGTTTATCGATTATTAAAAGTTACAAAATGATCATTCGACTATTTAATATGTTCCAAACTCGTCTTTTTCCGTTAAAAAATTGACGTCAGTCTGAGTTGAATGTTAACTTGATTATTGAGATATGATAAAATATAAATATAGAATCTAAAAGAACTATCACTTCTCAGGCAACAAGTTAATAGTCTGCTTAGACAGTTGCGAATTTTTTAATAGATAATGATTAGTTTGGAACATACTAAATAGTTGGATGATCATTTTATAACTTTTAATAATCGGATGATTCATCAAAGCAACACCCTATAGTTAAATGATTATTTTATAACTTTTAATAGTCGAATGATGCACAAATCATTACCCTACTTTACCCTATTTTTTAATAATATTAATAGTCAATGACGATTATTAACGACTTTAGTTTGATTTGAATTTCAAATTTTGGATCATTAGAACCGTAATAAGAAAATTTAAAATTACAAAGATAAAATTATTTAAAAAAACACACGCGATCATGAAAATAATGAGAAAAATATAATAAATTCTTAAAAAATCTATTAGAGATGGAAAAAATACCAACAATCATTTAATATAATAGGATGAGATATTGATTTATTTTTTTTGTTGTCCTCACAGTTTTAAGGGTTTGTATTGACTAATCTGGAACGACTTGCAGCACACAAATAACTTCGGTGGGTAAGTATCTCAACATAGATTTTTTATAAACATAAGGACTCAAACTCGAGACTTCGCTTAAGCACTATCAAGCTGATTACCACTTAAATTAACCATTGTTGGTTGAGACATTAAATTCTTTTAGTAATGTCAAAATTTTAAATTTTAACGTTATGAATGAAGTAAACTGAATTGAGAGACTAATTTATATAATGAATATATACAATATCTACTTTGGATTAATTGATCAATTAATTAAATACAGAAGATTAAAAGTTAAAAAAATATGTATTTTAAGGGTTAATTTATGATTTAATACAAAAATATTTCACATTTCATTAGGGGTACTTCAGTCATTTCACCCGGTAGTTTCTTTCCGCGTCGGCCATTGCCGAGTAAGAAATTTCCTTTTATATTGACTTCATTCTGCGACTTCAAAATTTCAAAATCGTCTCTCAATTTTAAAACTCAGAAACAAAGAAAACCCAGATTTCTTTTTTCTTTTTTGGAAAGAAAAATGGGGGATTGCAGGCCATTGGGGTTCTTACTGGGACTTCCTTTCGCCCTCATTGCACTGGTTTTAGCCGTCGTTGGAGCTGTTATATGGGTTCTTGGGTAAGCCTTTCTTTAACTTTTTACTCATTCTTCTATATATTTTGTAATGATTCACATAGATCGAAGGTTTTACAAACCAGTAAAAAAATCTGGGGTTTTTTCCTCCAGTTTTTGTACTGTTTGAATTTGAGTGAAAAAATAGTGTTTAAAATTGTGGGTTTTTTTATCGGGAAATTGCAATATGCAGGACCATATTGAGTTGCATTTGCCCATGCTGTATTTGCTGTGCTGGACTTGCGAATTTCGCTGTGGATCTTATCAAGCTTCCCATTAGAGTTCTTAGATGGTTCATCGATCAAATCCCATGTTGATTAATTTGGTATTATTTGATTCTTTTCTTTTTAAGTTTGTGATTGTAGAATGTAGATTGTTAGACGATGTGATTTTATGAACGCCATTGTTGTTGATGATTAACAAAGCTTGAGAATTTGATTCTTGAGTGCTTTCTCTTTTTGTATATTCTAATCTTCTTTGCACTTTTTTTTTTGAGAAAATTTAAAATTCAACTTTTTATTTTAATATATGTTTAACAAATTAGTAGGGTTAGATTTGGCTAATTTTCGAAATAATATTTATTTAGTTAAATAACATCAAAATAATATATTTTTTAAAATGACATTTTTTTTTATAAATATGCACGATGTATAAACATTTCTCAAAAGACGTGATTTAAAATAAAAGAAATAATAATAATAATTTAAAAATCGTAATATTAGGATGATTGGTTTAAGTTGTTAGTAGTTTAATATTGTTTAAGTAGATATCGAGTTTGAGTTATTGTGAATGTAAAAAATCTTCTTTGAAAAACTCATTTATCAAAATTAAGTGTGCGATCCGAATCGGTTTAGATTATTCAGGATGAAACCTTAAGAATTAAAAGAGTAACTAAAAAAGAATTGTAACGTTAGGAAAGACATGTCCTACGAATTGTGTTTTATGAAAAATATATTTGGCTTGATGTGTCTTATAAATCAATATTAAGCGATTGAAGATAAAAAAAACATACATAAACATTGTTGTCATCGTTTGATCTTACTCATTTCTTTATTTATACTAATACGTATCTCGATAGGTACCTCATATATTTTTTATTTTTAAATAAAATTTATATTTTCTTTTACATGTTTAGTTATTTTTTTTCCATATTGATTTTTTATACCATTGTGTTACGTGTAAATAAAGACACAAATATACTATTTTTAGGCTTAATATCTAAATAAGTGTATAAATTATATCATTTTTTTCTTGAATAGGTGTCTACAATTTTTTGTCCATCCAGGTGTCTAACGTTATAAACGTTATCACTTTAGGTGCTCAGGCCGTCAACAACATTAATTTTCTCCGTTAAATGACACGTGTCACAATAAAATGATTTTAAAATTTTATATAAAATTACATTTTTTAAAAAGAAAACACAAAAAATTTGAAATAACCATAAAACTTTAAAAACCTTCATTTCAATCTCTAAACCCACGCAGATCGCCACCCTTTGTCGTCGACGAAGCTACACCCGACCTCACCTCCCCCTGTGACTAAAACCCCTATGAAACCATGATCGATTGGCGACGAATCGACGTTTTATACCCCACGAACGCTAGGATAAAAATCACGATTTCGACAGTCAGTCGACGACGACTACGACGGCGTATAACTATATGGCAGAGACTACGTCAGTGGGGGTGGTCGTGGCGGGAAAAAGTGACGGTGCGAGATTAGTGTTAAGATTTGAGGATTTTGAGGTTTTTTGTAATTTAAAAGAAATTATGATTTTTATAAATATAATAATATTTTTAATATTTTAAAAAATAAATTTTAAAATTACCAGATTGTGAAACGTGTCACTTAACGGATAAAACTAATGACCGTACGTCCCGGGCACCTAAAGTGGTCACATATGTAACGTTAGATACTTGGATGATTCAAAAAAATATTGTAGGCACCTACATGAGCAAAAAAGGTATACTTTGGGCACTTATTTGGGTATTAAGCTCTATTTTTATGTGTTAAAGAAAAAATTATTTTAAAAATTAAATTTAGAAAGTAATATTTTAAAAATTATTTTTTAATGATGATATTTATATAAAAAGATATAATCTCATAAAATACTCTTAACATTTGATTATATAATCACTTTGTCCCAAAACACAAATACACTATTTTCATAGGTTAAAGAAAATATTATTTTAAAAATTAAATTTTAAAAATATTAATTTAAAAATTATTATTTTTAATACTTAAATTTCGATAAATAATATATAATCTCAAAAAATACTCTTAACATTTGATTAAATAGTCACTCTACCCCTTATTTTTTTTTTAAGAATTTAGCCTCTAACGTTTCATTTTGGGATAAAAATCATTTTGTAAATGAAAACTGTAAGTTAATAAATGATTAATGCTTTAGAATAAGACCTTTCTAGTCTAGAATAAAATATTGAATGCTAAAATGCTAAAAAAAAAATTAAAAATCAAAGTGACATGTTAACGTTGGTTGTATGCCTAAAAAAGTCCTTTTCAACTCTTAGACAAATCTAATGAGAAGACTCTATTTGCAAGGGAAAGACATCATCATGGTTAGATATGTCTTTGAGCACCATACCATCTCCATTTCTTAGTAAATAAGTATTCATTATTTGTATTAAATTCAGAATCATTTGTTAAACTTTTAAGGGTAAATTACACCAGATGACACTGAACTTTAGATCGTATAACATTTATGCCACTAAACTTTTAATTTCTCTAATCATAACATTAAACTTTAGTTTTAACTTCAATTATATCACTGTATCGTTAAATTTTAATGGCCTGATGATGTGGATAGATCTTTTAATCACTGTGACGATGTGAACAAAACGATATCGTCTTACAATCGGAAAAAAAATATAACCAATGTTAGATTTTTTTTATTCAAGGGTTCAGTCGAATGCTTAGAATATTAAGATCAATTTAAAATTTGACCATGATTTCTGGACTAATCATGCAATTAATTCAAATCATTGGAGCTTGGAGGTTGATATTCCAGCAACCTTCAACAATAAGCTGTCCCCACGTCTCAAAACATCATAGCCATTGATCTCAATTGCTTTTAAGATATATTATTTGGCAAAGTTGAATTTAAAAGATAAGAATTTAAGCTTTCGATTGAAACCAAAAATGATCCCAGAGTCGCAAAACAAAAGGATTGAATATTTAAGAGGGAATTGAAGAAACAGAGAAGCTATGGGGTTGGATTATTACAAGATACTCAAAGTAGATAGGAACGTAAACGATGAAGACTTGAAGAAATCATACAAAAAATTGGCTATGAAATGGCATCCTGATAAGAATCTATCAAATAACGAAGATTCCGAAGCTAGATTCAAGCAAATCGTTGAAGCCTACGAGGTACAATATTGAAAAGCTTTTTTTGATTCGTTTTACAATGACGGCCTCCATGTTTTTGCTTCAGTTTTATCATGTTACTGAATTAATCATCTCTGGGTCTCATATTATGATCTGGGTGTTTATGATTTTCTGTTTATTTTGTGTATTTGGATTGTTGTGTTTGATTTTTGTAAGGTTCTAAGAGATCCCCTGAAAAGAACAGTGTATGATCAGTACGGTGAAGAGGGTCTAAATGGTGCAGCGGCGCCACCGCCGGCACCCGGTGGTATTTCCTTCTTCTCTGCTGGATATGGACCGACGACGTTCAGGGTCAATCCACAAAATGCCGATGATAAATTTGCTGAGTTTTTCGGGTACTCTAGTCTGTTGAAAAATACTTCTGATTTCATCTATATATCAAATGTACACAAATTACATATTTATAGTTTTAATACTAATGTAACTGCTTCTAACTGACTTCTAACAAACTCCTAACAACATAACAATATTCAACTAATTTACTATACTCAACACTCCCCCTCAAGTTGGGTTGTAAAACACATCTTTTACTCCCAACTTGGATAAGAGATATTCATGTTGTGAGACTCCAAGTGCCTTTGTTAGAATGTCTGCCTGTTGTTCTGAGGTTGGAACAAACATTGTCTGAATCAGGCCCTTCTGAATTTTTTCCCTTATAAAATGGCAATCTATCTCTATGTGCTTTGTTCTTTCATGGAACACTGGATTGGCTGCAATCTGTAAGGCTGCCTTACTATCACTGTAAATCTTTGTTGGCTGGTCATTGTTGACTCCAAGTTCTTTTAGTAACCCTTTCAACCAAATAAGTTCTGAGGTTGTTATGGCCATACTCCTGTACTCAGCTTCTGCTGATGATCTTGTGATAGTGCTCTGTTTTTTAGACTTCCATGAGACTAATGACTTTCCCAATTTGACACAAAATCCTGTAACTGACTTTCTTGTCATGGGACAAGTTGCCCAGTCCGAGTCACAATTTGCTATAAGCTGGCAATTGCTCTAAGCCTTTAACATAACTCCCAAACCAGGATTCTTCTTGATATATCTAACTACTCTAAGAGCAGCTTCCATATGCTCCCTTTTGGGTTGATGCATAAACTAGCTCAAATGCTGAACTGAGAAAGTTATGTCTGGTCTTGTATGTGTTAGATACAATAACCTTCCAATAAGCCTTTGAAATCCTGCTTTATCAGCTAAAAGAATTTTTCCTTGCCCTTGATGTTGTTGAAACGAACTATCATAGTCCACTGTAGTAAACTTGGTATTCTGCTCTAAAGGTGTTGTTGCAGGTTTTGCACCACCAATTCCAGTGTCTTGAATCAACTCAAGTGCATATTTCCTCTGATTTAGAAGTATTCCTTCCTTTGATCTTAAAACTTCTAGACCAAGAAAGTACTTCAACTCTCCCAAATCTTTCATTCTGAAATTCTTATGCAAAACCTCTTTCAACTCAACAATCAATTTCACATCATTTCCAGTAATCATCAAATCATCAACATAAACTAAAAGCACCACAATATTAGTCCCATGCTTCTTAGTAAACAAAGAATAATCATATATACTCTGAACATATCCTGCTAAAAGTAGAGACTCAGTAAGTTTGGCATTCCACTGTCTTGAGGCTTGCTTTAAACCATAGAGAGACTTTTGTAGTCTATACACCATATTCTCCCCCTGACTACAAAACCCTTGAGGCAATTCCATATAAACTTCTTCATGTAAGTCCCCTTGCAAAAAGGCATTATGAACATACATTTGCCATAAAGGCCAACTAAAAATGGTAGCAAGAGCAAGGACAAAACGAACAGTTGTAAGTTTAGCAACAGGAGAGAAGGTTTCTACAAAGTCAATCCCTTCCCTCTGATTATAGCCTTTAGCCACAAGTCTGGCCTTGAACCTCTCAACTTCTCCTGAGGCTTTGAATTTTACTCGAAATACCCACTTACACCCAATGCACACTTTTCCTGGAGGCAAAGAAACAATAGACCAAGTTTTATTTAACTCAAGAGCATGAATTTCCTCTTGCATTGCTTTAACCCAGCGAGAAT